CAGGGAGCCCGATGTGGGACTCGATCCCGGGACTCCAGGATCATGACCTGAGCCGAAGGCAGTCGCTTAACCAACTGAGCCACCCAGGCGCCCTTGTTATTAACTGTTTTATGTATTTAGGTGCTTGTATGTTGGGTGCATAAATATTTGCGATAGTTATATCTCTTGTTTGATTGTTCCCTTTATTATTATATAGTGTCCCTCTTTGTCTCTTGGTTCATTTTTTGTTTTTAAGTTTATTTTTTCTGATATAAATATTGCTACTCTGGCTTTCTTTTGACATTCATTTGTATGATAGATATTTCTCCATCCCCTCACTTTCAATGGTGGGAGTCCGTTTGGAGTAGTTCTGGGCCCATTTGGGGCTGCTTGCCCACTGCTAGGCTTGTAGCACTGCTTTGGATGGGCTTTAGCCAAGTGCATATTGGAGGGGCAGGTACTCAGGAGAATACCAGGGTGGGGCATGCTCTTAGCAGGTTAGGTGGGGAATGTTGGTGCTGACTGGTTCCAGCATTTGTCTCCTTATCTAGGCTGGGGTTGGGAGGGGAATGGTGCCTGCCAGCTCTTTTGTTTTCATAGAAGTCTCCCAAAGTTCCCTGCCTCTCCATCACAGGCTTTGTGATGAGTAAACAAAAATCTCTTTCCCAGGCACTATAGATGTTTTTCAAACTGCTGCTTCTGTGCTGTATCTCAGCAGGGCTATTTGTTGTGCTTTCTCTTTAAGGGCAGGGACTCCCACCTTCCCAGCTTTCCCAGGGCCTAGCCCACTGATTTGTAATGTTCCTGGTGATAAGCTCCACTGGTCATTAGGCCTCATTGGTTTTCAAAGCCAAGAGTTATGGGGACTGATCCTCCCTGTGTGTGTCCCCCATGCCTGGGGTTTGCTCCTCTTCCCTCTCTGCACCGGTCTCATCCCTCCCTCCCTTGGACAGTCTTGCAGGTCCGTTTTGCTCCTAACCATCTCTTTTCCCTTCCTACTCTCTTGAGTATTGCCTGTTCTCTACATTTAGTTGTGGAATCTGTTCTGCCAGTCTTCAGGTTGTGTCCTGTGTTACTTACCCAGATGTGGGTATTACATAGTTGTGTGCATGGGAAGGTAAGCTTAGGATCCTCCTCCTCTGCTATCTTCCCCTGAAAAGCCAGCAGTAGTATTTCTTTTTTTTTTTTTTTTTAAAGATTTTATTTATTTATTTGACAGAGACACGGCGAGAGAGGGAACACAAGCGGGGGGCAGTGGGAGAGGGAGAAGCAGGCTTCCCGCCGAGCAG